AGCAGATGATAGGGAAAACCGATATGTTGCAAACCATGAAACAATTGGCAACACAGCTGTAACTAGTAAAGCAATTGCTGCCGCTATCGCCCAGCCAAGATACAGTGACGATGCATAGGGAGAGTAAAATCCTTCTTCATCTCCATTCCATCCCTTGTAGCCTAAATCATCTAAAGGCTTTGCGGACACTATTGCACCGAGGCCAACAATTGATCCAACAAAAATGAATATGCTGACAGCAAGAAGGACACCCTGGAAAAGTAAATTGACAACAAACAAATCAAAAGAAGTAGGCATAAAAAGCAGAAACAATAAGTATTCCAACAAATCAAGCATCAGGCAGCTGACGTTCAAGCAATGCATCTGAAGGGAAAAAGAATAAGCAAAAAAATGAATCTAGAAAGTTAAAAGGGGCCAGCAATCAGCAAGCCTCTGCCTAAAACTTCATTTGACCAAGTATAATGATCAGAAACCCCAGCATCATCAATAAAATGTTACAGACTACAGTGTAAACCAAAACTTCCATTCTATTTGCTCTGGCTGAAAAAAGCTAAATTGTTTAACCAATTCTCGGCAGATTCTCTAGCTGAAAGTTATGAATTTATTAGCTAAAACATGGGTAAAATACTGTCAAACTCCAGCATCAAACAATCCTAGAGATAAAATGAATCAATTTACTAGTAGGGACGTTCCGCAGGAAAAAGGGTACCAGTCTAATTTTATAATATGATGGTCTGCTTCTCAGAAGGATAAGAAAGGAGTTTTGTGTTGCGTAGGTGTTTTGAGATGTATGTGTTGACTGTGTTCAGCATGGCGATGTGGAAAAGGAAGTTGGAGGTTTAGTAGAGAGTAAGTGGGAGGGGAAGCCCATGCTACCTAGGTACTTCTAATATGAAGCCGTACCCGTACGGAGCACGTACACGTGCCCATACCCAAACTCCTTAGCCTCTCCTTGCATAAATGCATGCATTTATTTGGGCATATGCTCAATTATACAATACATGTTTTAATTTACAACACTTGTCACACATTTTTTGGACATATATCCTACACGCTTCACACGCACTTCTTGAAACTCATTGGACATAAGTCAGATTTCGGATTATGATTTTGAATGGTCATTTGGATGTCTAGTTCAAAAACTTGTGATTTTCCAATTTATAATCCACATCATAAAAGTGTCATAGGACTTAATTCTCATCTTTGTTCTTGTGTAAAATATAAATTCCAACATATAATATATGTGTATATAAATATTTATAGCTGTGTCCCCGTACCGGTACCCATACCCATGCAACATAGGGGAAAACAGACACAAACATACAGAGAGGGGGGAGCAGCCATATTCTCTTCCAAGAAGGAAGTCAGTGATACTGATACCAATAACAGCTAAAGGTATTTAATTTCAAATCTTAACCTCTCTAGGCATTTACATTCCTCTTTTCAAAGGCATTTACATTCCTCTTTTCAAGATGTCTTGAGGTTTAAAGCATGAATAACCGGGAATCCGTTCAAGTCCGTGATACCGATGATGTCTACGGATATTTGATTTCAATTCTCAATATCTCTAGTCATTTACACTCTTTTTTCTACATGTATTATGTCATTATTTGAGGGTTAAAGAATGAATGAATGGGAGTGTGAGTCCATTTAACTCTTTCTGTTAATTTGTCATATGAATGGATGTAATTCACCTCTAGCAAACTATACCACATAACCCCTTTCGATAGGTGAATTTGGAAATTTGCTCCTTGATGGCATGAGCAAAGGTCTTTTACATGGTTGAGAGTGCCAAACGATACTGGCTAGCTATCAAAGTTATATATTTTTACCGTCCCCTGCTCAAGTCTGTCCATATCAGGAATTTCATAAAAATTCAATTTACCTTGAGTAGCAATTTAGCAAAATCCAGTTTTTGAGGTCAGGTTGACAGCCAGTTGTAAGACTTGCTCAAATCTGACAACATGCAATATTCTAATAGGATGACCCCTTAGTGATCTGACAAAATGGAAAATAATTTAAATTGCCAAGGGTAGACATACATTCATCATCCCCAACCAGTTTGAGGAACATGATTGTAATCAAAAATTTTGAGATAAGTGTATGTAAATTATCTGTATTTTATTAATTCCTAACCAAATACAGTCTAGCTCCTAGGAGGAAATGAATGAAAAACTTTTTTTAAATATAATAACCATGATATACTGAAGCCTATAAAAAAGAATCACAAAAACAAGACATGAGAACGCAAAGGCTACTAATTGTTATTTAAGCAACAGAAACAAGATTGTTAATTTTCATTGCATTAAACAAATAAAATATTGTACTCGGCAAAAGGAGAAAATACATGACACCGATGGAAACTTAAGCTCCTAGCTCTTTCCACAACACAAGAAACAAGCACTTTTCTTTTCTCCGAACATGATGTCACTGTTAAAAAGGCTTATTATTTGGTAAAACACCAATCTCAATGAGAAAACCCAGATATTAAATGAAAGAGCAAGAAAAGCTTGGATAAATTGTTATGAAAAGAAATATGTAATAGTAAATTCGAGCAAATGATAAACGGTTACAGATTCATATACTTGATAGTAATCTAGCTCCAATAAGTAGAATTTGGAAAATGCTTAATATTTAGCAATTTAGCAACTCTAATCAGCTTGAGATGCAATCAATTACTGAAAATTGCAGCGGTATAAGAGTAGACATGTTAGTTTACATAGATCTCTGAAAAGTAAAAACTCGAGATTGATTTAAGCAGCCTGCAAGGAACTGCCCTGTTTGAGTGCCTAAGTAGCAAGAGCTAATACCAACTCTTGACAAAAGCCTTAAAAAAGCATAAAGTTGGCCATCATCACGACCTTGGAAATACCTCAAAAACAACAAAATACTCATATAGTCACCCTCAGAGAGTTGTTCTCTTGTAAAATCTGTATAAACAACCAACAAAAATAAAAACCTAACCCTTGCCGTGCGCATATAGAAACAATCAGCATAACCAAATTCCTAACTCTTGCTAACACTCTCCCAGTCCGGAGCAGATTCAAACTGCCCAGACATGTGCGGGAATCCTACAAGTTAAAGCCGAATATCACTGGAAGCATCCACCACTACCAACAATGTAATGACTGCCACTGAGAATTGATCCTTATGAAGCTTATGTCATGAAAATATTCTTATACAAACTTGAATTGGTTCGACATGATGAAGAAATTATTCTAACTTCTAGGGGAATGTACATGCATATGGACATTTTAAACGCCGTAAATGTGTAGTAATATGACCTAGTATTCTAATACAGTAGTAACAGTTCAGACCTCTTTTTTAGGACTCTGATGGTTATTTCCATGACTAGCAAATGCTTGCTGTGGAACCCAGAACCGATAACCATTGTGTGCCCATATTGGAATGGCAACTGAAAGGCATGCCACCATAACAGGGATGGTCAAAGCTAACCCCAGGATAACAGAAGATTTGCTGGAAAAAAAATCATATGCACAGGTAAACGTCAGCAATAAGTAAAGGAAGAAAGTAGACATTTGTGAAAAAGGCATAAAATAGAAACAGGATACAATGCATGTGAAACAGGACTGAAACATATAGAGATAAATATAGATGCACATATCTAGCAAGTTATCTTGAGAAATGAAAGGTCCATATCACAGTAAATTACGAGAGAACTACTAATAGAACTAACAAGCTTCAACAGTGTCAAACCAGTAAAAATAAAGAGAATTCTCTGTAACGAAGATCCACATTAAATTATGAAAAATCATTTATCAATATACATAAAGTTTTATATGGTATACATGAATTACAGATCAATAAATACTATACAAACCTAACAGCTCCTTTCTTGTGAGATTGCTTGATTGAATGGTAGATAGCTACAGAACCAATCATCTTGATTCATTCTAAATTCATGTTCATTACTTTCAAGCTTTCAAAATTCATTATATATCATTATTAACTAAAACATTAAGATAATTCACTAGAGAGCCAATAGCATAGTATCATGCAAATTCTTTTATAAAAAAAGATGTCAGAGAATATACACCTGATTTCTACAAGTTTTGATAATTAAAGATATAGCAACCAAGAAAAGGAGGAAGACAAAGAAGATGGTCACATACGTGATGACTTCTTTACGTTCATCAACACATTTCTCGTCCATCCTTTCAGGTATTAACATGTTTAATAATTGGTAACTATTCAACTATCCATACAACAAGATGACATTTTGAGATTTTTTTTACTTGACTGCTGCTATAAGCACCGATAATTGGATGTATGTATTTTCTCTTTGACTATCCTCAAAAGGTGAACAAGAAACTGTGCTAGAATAAAAAGGAGGTCGAGCTAGGAGACGTGCATGGAAGAAATATCGATTAATATTCTCACAAATGCATATGACACAGGAATTTGATACGTATAAAGAATGCATATTACACGAAAGTTCTACTTTGGACATGAGAAAAGAAATGACAGGTATACCCTGATAAAATGATATTGACGTACCTCAAGAAAGAGAGAAGCAGACCAACGCATGTAGTCAACAGCCAAGCAATGAAACCATACTGGAGATAGAAAAACAAAAAACATAGTAGTATTACTATCAAAGGAATGAGAATTTGAAAATGACTGTGAAAGAAGGAAAAAGGACTTTTGCCAACTAAATTCAGTGAAGAAACCTGCATTCATATTTACCACACATAGGAAGTCTTTCAGTATTATGGAAAGCAGATGCATTCGCTATTTAATTTGGAGAAAAAACAGTCACAAAAGATGAAAGATAACAAGTATTAGGTCAGCGGACAACCAATACAACTCATACTTCCCACATTATACCACCTCAATATGAAGCCACCTCCATATTCACTGCTTGCAAAATGAAAAGATCGTCCTTAAGAAGATATACAAGGCACTCTATGATTACAATTACAACTAAAAAAAGTCCTAGTTTCTTATAGGGTCTATTCAGTTGTAGATTATAAGGCATATGCACAGACTGGTAGCAGTTCAGTATCTGTTCCAGTCTACAAACATGACATGGATTCGGAACAAAGTTTGAAGAAATGCTAGTGAAGAATCAGTTCTGATAGATGGCAGCATAAACCACGGCATAATCTAAGAAAAATCAGATTCTTGCATGCATAAAGAAGTTGGCTATTCGCAAATCAACTAAGAAAGTTTGAGCTACAAGAGACAAGGAAGATCTGGTTCAGACAAGGTATGTTGTGATTCGTTAAAACTATACAGATTACCCGTTAGAGAGGCTATTTTATGATATTTGCCAAATATGTTTACAAATGGACAATGATGCAGATCATTTGTCAGCCACCGACTAAAAGCAATTAGGATTTTTTTAGAATCTTTCCTGCTCTGGTAGTATTTGATATAATATTTTACTTTAAGGTAGGATTTATTTAGAAATAAAAGTTATTTGATTTAATTTTACCTTCTAGCTTAGTTATGATTTAACTAGATAGCATCTTTTGCTTTTCATAGGATTAGTTTTTTTTTTTTTGGATTAGTTTCACCTTAGTCTTCCCTCTATGCAAGATTGTACCCTTCATTTGAATGAGACCTAGATAAACTGTGTCATTGAGTTCTGAGAAACCTCTCTAATCATGTGAATTACTTGTGTTCCCTAGCATGTGAATTGCTAAAACAAGATACGTGATTTACATAGGGGTGTCAGGCCCAAAGTTTATCTTTATTTTTGTTATCTTTGTTATTTTGTTTCTCACTCCACAAATTAATCCTCTCCCTCTCTTTATCTGTTCCTGCAGGCCGCAACCCTTTCCCTCTTTTGTCTTGTTGCCATCAACCTAGCCTATCGAAACCAAGCACTCTCAAATATTATCCAACACCATCACAACCTTTCCGTCATACCCTACTCAGAAAATAAAGAAGCATATTACCTCTCCCTCTCTTATCACGTAAATTTTGGTCATCTAGGTGGTACCAAACATGCATTCTTCAAACACAAAGCCTATTACACTCACAAACAAATCTTAGCTTATAAATGAAATATCAAACAATTTACAGTAGAAGCCACAAAGAGAATCAGAAGAAAGAAAAATCAATTTATGTGCTTTATATATCTGTAAGACAGTTCATTATGGATGGCCTACAGTAGTGCAGTGAAGTAATAACCATATTACTATTTACAAGTAGTAACCAAAAACTCAAGAAAACATATGTATCAAACCTAAGTTACCTTCCTTGGTCTTGATGTCATAGCCATGTTTTCTGCACGAAGAGACTGAAGGAAAGCCATTACTGAGCAGACAACCGGAGACAGAAGAAGCACTGAAAAACCAAATTCAAACTGCAAAAATGTTGAAAAAGAATGCAGTCAAGATACAGTCGACTGGGTGAAATTGGAAGTCACGTTAAAGTAGTTAAAAATAATAGGCTTCAATCGAAAGAGCTCCTTTCACCTGCTCATGGGTAGCATTTATTAATTTTATTGCTGTTGGTCGAAAAACCGCAACTACTGACGTCTCCAGGATGAAGACCAAACTAAAAAGGACCAAGGCACGTTCTGGTGTACTAGCTATGTGGTGCAGAATACATCTGGAGAAGTTAAGCCACTTTCCCAAACCATGCCTCCTGAGTTCTTCAGATAAAGATATTTGATTTGGCAAAGCCATATCCAGTCTATATGAATCAATAGCCGTAACATCTGTAGCCTCTTGATGATCTCTGTCAGCATCTAAACTGCTTCTCTGCAGAAGTGCCAAAATCCTAGGATCCAATCCTTTTTCCTTCAATAATAAAGCAAAATTAGGGTCAAGACCTTTGTCTTGAAGAAGAGTGGCCAGTTCAAGATCACCTTGCCCTCCTTTCCTTTTCAACATTGATGCAATCCTGGGGTCATTCAGTTTGTCCTGAAAAACCATAGCTAAATTTTCTAATGCTTGGTGATTGGATAAAGTAGTGAATGATCTGCTTGACTCGCAACCTTGGCTTTCTAAACCACTGCTAGAACAAATAACAAGTGAGCCATTGTGATCAGGATTCTTCTCAGGAAAGGTTGTGCCACTATCAGAATCTTGAACGACAGTACGGCAAGAGCTGCTACGTATCGCAAAACTTGGTGTTCTGCTATCTATGCTCTTATCACTACTAACAGCTTCATGGCAACTATTAGCACGACCTAGAAGCAGATTGTTCCAATTACTACCCTCACCCACACAATGGGAATTACTTCTGCTCATAACTTCAACAGCATTACCATGACTGGCTTCAACACTGCTGCTACTGCGTTTAACACTAGAACCGCAACCTTCAGAAGAGCTTGAAGAACTGCTCTGACCTTTTCGCCGAAACCCCTCTCTCAATCGAATTACAGTACTCCTCAAAGCATCCTGCCTGGCAACCATGGGATTCAAAATTGCTAGGCGACGAGAAACAGCAGCACCTAGCAGCACAGTTGCTACAATAGCATAACTTATGCAATGTCCCAAGTACCTTAGGGTGGAACAATAAAGAAAATAAATACAGATATATAGTGCAGATATGAACTGTGAATGTCAAAGGGCAAAGACTGACCAGTAATGCACTCCAAAGCAGATAAGAAAAATCCTAGATGTGCCAGCAACAAACAAGGCGATAACTCGACTATTAAGAAGTTCAAATCCAAACAAACAAGCTCCCATATTCCAATCTGTTACCGCAAAAAAAAAGTGAAGGTTAAAGGAAATTTCAATGTCCCACCATAAAATTTTTGGCAAGCCTAAAAACAACATTAAATTTTTGTACCAAGTATAACCACAGCAGCAGATGTAATTGCACCAAGCCAGTGCGACTCCTTTGCTGTCAAACCATACAAGATGGAATATGCGAGAAGTACAATAAGTGACCCCAAGTAGAGAAGCCCAATATGCGAAGCCCTAAAGAAAACTCATCATATATCAATATAAAGTGAAAACCACTACAGATAATTAAAGTGGAAGCTATATCTTGTTATCTGTCACCTAAAAAATCTTCTCTTTAAGGTAGCAGAAACTAAATCCAGTATGAAGATAATAACAATTATCTTAACAGAAAAGAGGTAATAACATAGGAAAGTGCACTGTAATGACTTGCCTGCTGGACTTCTGCATGTAAGAGTCATTGGGCTCTGGTGGTTCAGGTAAGCAAGCAAGAGGACCCACTTCTATACAGTCAGAGTATGCGAACTTGTATGACTTCCTCACATATTCATCCACATCTAATCCAGTTCCTGTACATATGTAATATGAGTACACATATATTAGGCATCTATTACCACTGAACAGAAGGACAATATCTATTACCACTGAAGACCATTCTGCAAATAAACAGCATGTTGATTGCCAGTGCAATGGCAGAGACACCAAAGAAAAATCCAGACGGCGAGTATCGCTCAGCGGCACTTGCACCAGCAGTAACATAAACAGCACAAAGTTCATACGCACAAAGCAGTGCTACCGCCAACAAAAGAAGGAATGCAACAGCCCCTAGACAAAGCAAAGCAACCAAAGTACTGGAGTAATAAGTAATCTCGTATTTGAAATAAATGATCATAAAAGAATTAACTCAATTAAGTAAATAAACAATAACAGTTTAGGAAACGCACTATGATGTCTAAATGGTCATGAAAAGAACTAGATATATAACTCCAAATTATATAAGAATTCCATCCACTCCCAGAAATGCAAGCTTAAATGATATCACATAAACATCAGGCAGTATAAAAGCAAGAAATGAAGAACAAGAGATTCAGCTACATTTCTTGACAAAGAGAAGCATCATGATCTTCATCTAAGCCTTTTTCTTTTAGAAGATGAGCCAGCATGACTAAGAAGTCAGGAAAACTCCATAGATGATTTAGCTATTACAATTCCCTGACTAACTACCAATGACACATAAAGAATTGGTGTGCCAAATGTTGTAGCCAAGGAAACAAAAGAACATCATAATAGATTGGTTCTCATCACTTAGAAGTCAGGATAATTTCATGCATGAATTGACTATTACAATTCCCTGACAAACTATCATCAACAACTATGAGTTGGTGTACCAAATGTTGTGGCCAAGAAAGCTCTGGACAAGAGAACATGACGACAAAACCTGGATACGAGTTGGTAGGTAAGTATATTTATCTTCATCACACATGCAGATTGTGCTCACGAAGTCATGCGAACAAAGTGTAACCTCCAAATTCACTAGATTTGATCAGCTAGCTGTGATACTGTCCACAGAACCTGGATATGAGTTGGCAGTAAAGTTGATTTATATTTGTTACACATGCAGATATAACCATTGCAAGCTTCATATCCAAACATTTTTTTCATCAAAAAAAGGGTGGCCACCAACATGACTATGATGTCAAGAGAACTTCTACGTGAATAGATGACTTTTTACAATTTTGCTCACAAATTGACAACGATCCAACATGACTTGGTGCACCAAATTTTGCAGGCAAGGAAACAATGAACAAGAGACAGGGATGCAATAAAACTGAGATGATCTTTTGGCAGGAATAGCAGATCTATCTACATTGCTCATGCAATTTAAGCCTGTGCAAAGTGCAAACCAATGGCAACATCTCCATATTCCCTTAGACCTAGAAAGAACCTAAACAGGAAATGTTGAGAGATGTATCCTAAGAAACTTAATCCCATACACTTCACACAAGGCGTTAATCCCGCTGAATCTGGAAGGCATCAGATCTCGCAGATAAGCTTCTTGGCAATATTCTCCTCTTCCCTCATGAACAATCATCACTCCAGCATGCCATCTATTCTCGAGCAGAAGAACCACAAAACAATAACGTTGTTTGTTAAGTTATTACATGTAATTTAGGGAATTGTTTATTAAGTTATTATATGTAATTTTTAGGCAAGCCTTTTTATAGAAGTATTGCTTCTTAATGCAATCCAAAAGCCCTTCAAATTTAAATATTTGATAATAATTAATAAGAAGAAAAAAAATTATGACTAAAACTTCCAACCATGCATTTCCCCATAATGAAAAAAAAACAGAGTTTTAAACCTAGCTTCAAGGTGTCTAATATTATCCTAGTTTTTACCAACGTAGCCAACCCTAATTGTTAAGGAAGTAACATTTAAAATATATTTAGTTGTTCAGTTACTTTGTGATGGAGAAACATATAGACAGATTTAAGATGGTGTAAGAGTAAGCATTGATGGGCACTTCAGCACAGAAAGCTGGAACTACCCGCGCCCAGCAACAAGGAATTCAATAGTATATCATCAAATGACCTAAATATGCTCAAATAAAGATCTGAGAATCTCTCCAGGTTATGTGTGGTCCATATTTAACTAGACATCAACAGTTTGAATCAAAGACAAATGTGACGTCTAAAACACTCCAAGCTGTTTGATACACTCAAAATGTTGACTATGAAATGCAATTCCATACAAACATGGAAATGAGATGACTTTAAAACTCACAATATAAAACAAATCAGTCTAATAAACAAGGAATAGAGTACATACTTGAGCTTTGCCACTGTGTCCTCCACCAAAGCATTATAGAATAGAATGCCAGTAAAAGAGCAGTGCCCGCCATGATTACAGCCAATCCAATTACATCTCGGCTCAAGAGTGAGATAAGAATACTTCCCCATGTGACAACCACAATAATGGGAGAAAGAACAGTGACCCATGCACATAAAGAGAGAAAGCAGCAGAGTGCAGTTATGTGTCGCCCTTGTACAAGTTTTGGCCATTTTCTTGCAAATATCCAACTAAGTCAAGAAACAAAAGTCCATTGTAAGAGGAATAAAAAGTCAACAGTTATTACTTAAACTGAAGGAGAAATTTATCAAATGTATAGAGAATAATCCATTATGAAAAAAGAGAAATTTTCAGCTGATTAATTAACAAATAGAATCGCATACACAAACATATAGAAGAATATTAATCAAAAGACATCTTGATTAAACATTTTACAGGCTAGCACGACCAACCATTTGATGCCTGGGACTCTGAACCACAGAACATTTGGTAGCATATAAACAATATAGGCACTCAGCAATCAGAATATTTATCTGCTAATTCACAGGACATGAAGCGTAATTTTTACATGTTTCCATGTGAAGGCACAATAAGTGCAGAATTTACCATATTTAAAACTTACAACTAACCAAACCATCCAAGCCATAGTCTTGCTGACTCGGAGACTGTTCATTAGAAGGGGATGATAATGTGTAACCAAAAGGAAGAATCCAACTTTGATAGTTTGAACACTCAAACAAGTTATGCAATAACTGTGGACCTAAAGATAAAATGTACAAGCAATCTAAGAGTTTGGCAAATAAAACATGTACCTGTAGATCCTCCAGGGCCGCCAATTAACAGCCCAAAGAATCCAAACACTAAGAATACTTAGGACAGAGAAAAGAGCCCCACAAATGGTGCATGCCAATACAACCCGATGGTGCTCTTCTCCTTCCATTGCCCTCTTCCCCCTTTCCTAGTTCAGCTCATACCATGGAGACACCAAGTACAAACCTGCGAATAAGCACAATATAAGATCTTTTCCGTACCAAACTGGAAAAATGTCATTTGTTCAAGCATGAGAGGCCAAAAAATTGCGCAGGTCAGAAATTTCCAACACAACAAGCAAATAAAAACGGCACCAAAGCCCTAAGAACCAGCACGGAAAAAATTAGAAAGGTAAACTTCTAATTTTTTAAACAGAAAAAATACAAAATAACAATTTTCAATTACTTGTACGATAGAGAACCGATAACAGCCAAAACCCAACTTAAATCCGAAGGAAAGCACTAATTCAGCTCGAAACCCCAAAATGCACGAACACTGAAGACCTAAATGCGGAAGAAAACTTGCGAAATTGACGAATTCAAACTGATTTTCACTAACAATTGCCCAATTAGAACCATTTCCAAAGCGAAATTTGGGGCAAACAGCTCAGGGAACCAAACTACAAATAGGGATTTAGGTCTAGTAGCACAAACCCTAGAACGGAGAAGCAATAATTAGTAGAGAGAGGGAGAGATTGCATCAAAAGCCGTACCTTTTGGCTATAGGGAGCTCGATTTGTCCCTCGCGAAACCCTAGAAATCGAGAAAGAGGAACGGAATAGCTTTCCTCGGGGGGAGAGAAAATTGCACCAATTTAGAGAGAGAGTAGAGAGAGTGTGTGGGAAAAGACGGTTCACGCACCAAACAAGAGTGGGTAAATCGGTAAACAATAATTAAAATAGCAGGGTTATATTTGTAAACCCGAATTTTATTATAATTTAGTTTTAAATCCACTTGCTACCAAGGTCATTCTTAAATCATGTTAATGCTGAATTATTTTTGAACTCAGTTTCTACTTCAGTTGTTAATTGCTATGTTAATGTCTAAGGGCATCTCCAACCCATTGCACCAAAATGGTACAAATTTTGCATCAAAATGGTACAAAAGTCACATCTAACAGTAATCCATCTCCAACCCACTGCACCATTTTTTGCACCAAAAAGGAATATTCTCAGTATCTTTCTTTTTATCTACTTTTATATTATTATTTTTTATTCCCTATATTTTTAACTATTTCAACAATTAACCCCACATATCAAATTTTATTTTTTTCACATATTTTCCAAACAAAATGATTTATTATTTAAAAAATTAAACTAATAAAACAATAAAATATTATTTTATTAATTAAAATAACTTGATTGCTAAAATATTATATTTTTATTATTGATATTACCAAAATATTACATTCAAGAACACAACAGAAAATAAAATACGATAAAATAATTAAACATTAACAACAATATAAAAATTACAAATTTAGTATGCACTTAACTATCTGAATTAGTGTATTCCTCCCATAGATGATCTATCAATGCATTACGAAGCGCAATATGGGCATCTTTATCCTTGATTTTTCCGTAACGTGCAATAAATTGAGTAAATTTTGTAGTTTCATCTGCTACCATATCAACTTCTGGTGTTGGTGCTTCCCTCACTTCTTGAATTGGTGCCTAAAGGTCACGTTCATTCTCGATTATCATATTGTGCATAATAATACATGCAGTCATTATGTCATGTAATACATGTTTTTTCCAAAAACGTGCTGATCCTGCCACAATTGCAAATCGTGATTGGAGAACTCCGAACGCACGTTCTACATCTTTTCTACATGCTTCCTGTTTCATGGCAAAATATTTTTTCTTCCTACCTTGTGGCTGTTGGATTGTTTGTACAATAGTAGCCCATTTCGGATATATACCATCAGCTAAATAATAACCCATATTATACTCTTTTCCTTGAATAACATAGTGAGCGGGAGGAGCAATACCTTGAGCTAGGTTAGAGAAAAGATTAGATGACTCCAGCACATTGATATCATTATTGGTGCCTGGCATACCAAAATATGCGTGTCATATCCAAAGATCATAATCTGCCACAGCTTCAAGGATAATAGTTGGTGACCCACTACGTCATGTGTATTGCCCAGACCATGCTGTTGGACAATTTTTCCATTTCCAATGCATACAATCAAGACTTCCTAACATTCCTGGAAAACCACGTTTTTTACCAATATGAAGTAGCCTAGCAATATCGTTAGCGTTAGGTGTTCGTAGATACCGCTCTGCGAATATCTTCACCATAGCACGACAAAATCTTTTCATACTTTCAATTGCTGTTGACTCACCTATTTTAACGTATTCGTCCGTACCATCAGCTGGTAGACCGTATGCCAACATGCGAAAAACAGCTATTACTTTCTGTAACGGTGATAATCTCATTCTACCAAGTCCATCACTTCGTTGTTGGAAGTAATAGTCATGATCTTTCACTGCATCAACAATACGAAGGAACAAACTTCTTGACATCCGATATCGACGACGAAACATATCTTCTCCAAAACGTGGATTATCGGCAAAGTAATCTATGACCAAATTCTGATGCGCATTTTCTCGATCGCGGTTGATCACTGCATGACCAGGAATCGAGCCACCATGGATCGGTTGGTAGTTTTGTTGACGTAAATTGTTAGCGATGATCATGTTGTTGTTGATGTACTCACAAATTACTTCTTCGGTTTCATCAATCTCTGTAATGATATTGGACAGAAAATTATCATCATCCGAAGATGAAGATGATGATAAATATGATGGACCTCCAACATCGAAATTCATTTTTGGAGTAAGAAAAGAATGATTGAGGTATGCAGAAATAGAGAATAATAATTTTAACACAACAACGAATAATTGTGTGGATGTACCTAATCTAGTATGCTATTTATAAAACTTTGTTGAGCTGTGTATACTTGAACAATGTGTAAAGCTGACCAGTTTTCAAAAAAATGATTCCCACTCGTACAAAGCTTTCACACAATTCAAAGAAAGCTAAGATGTGTATACATTGGACAATGTGTAAAGCTGATCAGTTTTCAAAAAATGATTCCCACTCGTACAAAGCTTTCACACAATTCAAGGAAAGCTGAGCTGTGTATACATTGGACAATGTGTAAAGCTGATCAGTTTTCAAAAAATGATTCCCACCGACAACGTTGGACAATGTGTAAAGCTGATCGGTTTGTCCACAACGATTCAATTTCAAATGTTGACCACCGACAAATTCAAATTCAAAAAAAAAAAATTTTGATTGGCTATAAATAACATTCACGGTTTCTACTTCAAGCCACCCAATTCGAAGTATTTCTTCAAAGTATTTCTAATCTCCAAACCAACCGCTTTTTACAAAAAAAAATATTTGTTCGATCATCTGGATACACTATTACTGAAGATGTGCTCCTTTGTCAAGTATTCTTGGATATTTCTCAAGACCCTATAATCGGTAGAAACCAGTCTCGAGATGCATTTTGGTCTCGTGTGGAGGACAGATACAATGAACTTCGAGACCAAAATTCTGATGTGCGTACGAGCCGATCAATTCGTTCTCGAATGGAAATCATAAGTAATGAAGTAAGGAAATTGAATGCGTGCTTGAGACAAGTAGAGAATCTGAATCCAAGTGGTGCTTCAGATAAAGATATTGTAAGTATTCTATTAATTATCGTTTGAAATTTATTATTATTGTTGAAAAACATAACTTGATGTTCATTACAATTTGCAGTTAGTTCGAGCAAAGATGTTATTTATGCAAGAACCAAAGTACAAAAAAGGTTTCAAATTTGATCATGTCTGGCATATGGTTAAAAATTTCGAAAAATTTAAAGATGATGTCCCCACAGCAAGACAAGTTGGTCGAAGACAACCCAAAAGTGTGAACTTCGACTCGTCACAATCAGATAATCCTACTCCGGAATCTCCTATATCAACATCTCCTGGGCTGTCATCGTTTACTCCATCTGAACGACCTATTGGGGTAAAAAAAGCCAAATTAAAAAGAAAAAATGATGATCATGAGTCAAGCATAGTGGAATCCATCGAGACCTCCAACAACCGACTTATAGACAGGTTAGACAAGGCGAGCTTGGACAGGCAGGTAGCATTTGATATCGAACGAGAAAAGATAGCTATGAAAAAAGATAGAGATGAATGGGAAATTATAATGAAAGATTTGAATTCCATTGCTGATCCAAACGTGCGGGAGTACGTTCGAGCTCAACAGATTAAAATAATACAAAAAAGAAATCAACAAGAACAAGGGTCTGCTTCTAATTTTGGCAATTATTTCAATGATATTGGACACTCTGGCCCCGATCTACCAGAGTATTGAGAGTTGCTTGTCCATCTCAGGAAATGTTCCATGTTTAGTTTGTATTTTATGTTTTATTTTAATGAAGTTTTATATTATGTGTGTCAGTTTTTATATGTTATGTATTTCAGATATGTAATTTGTATTTGAATTATGTATTATGATTGCTCTATATAATTCATGGGACTTTACTTATAATGTCTAGATTTTAATATTATAATTAATAATAATGTCTTTTAAATTTTAGCATTATTTTTAGCCATAAAAAATAATTTATTTTGTCTAAATTATACAATTGTGGTAAAAGTATAAAATTTAAATATTATTGTGATTGTTTTATACATTTAATAAAACAATTGGGGTCAAATTGTGAATACATAAAAATATGAGGTAAAAACCAAAAATTGAAAAATAAAAAAATAAAAGGAAACAGTAATGGGGGGATGAACAGTGCGACGCCAAATATAGCGTCGCGCTGTTCATCCCCGCTAAAATGCAGCGAAGAATGGCGCTGCGTTGGAGCTCCGGAGCAGCGGCAAAATAGCGTTTTGCGGCAAATTGGCGTCGCGTTGGAGATGGTCTAAGTTGCCATTTTTGTGCATCTTCAACTATACTTGCTTCTAAATTGCTACATTTTCAGTGTATTGATAGCTCTGGGTTCAAAATAAATAGGGTTAAGTCTCTGGGTTTAAAATTAAAAAAAAAATAACATGATAAGACAGCGGCTGTGGGTAAAATATGTTGTCTATGCGGACTTAAACCACAGAAAACAACTCCATTCACCCTTAGGGGCTGTTTGTTTCACCAAGGGCTAGGAATAGGATTAGGAATCCTATTTAATTTATGGATTCCAATCTAATCTATAAAAAATTTATATACAAGTTTTAGTTTTATGGAATCTCATTTTTTTTGCATTCAATGTTTGTTTCACCCAAAGGATTAGGAATCTCACTTTTATAGAATTGGTCCAATTCCTAATACCATGTTTGGTTCAAAAAGACCTTTTTTTATTGATACTGTAGCAACGGCTAGCCCATTTTATATTTAAAAATCACTGTAGCAACGGATTGAAGCCATAAAATTCAGATTTCAAAGTAGCAACACTGTAGCAACGGCTATTTCCAGATCACCTCAAAATTCTTAGGCAAAACACTGTAGCAACGGCTAGTTCAGGGGCATGGTGGCTATAAATTCACCTTGAGGCCTCAAAATTAATCCAAGCATTCTCATTTTTCAGCAATTATAAAATTCTCATTGTCTTCAATTTGCTGCCCCAACATCAAAATGATATCAGAAGAGTGCTGGCAGAATTATGAAGTTTATTGCGACTGTAATCTCCGAACACCGATGAAAGTGTGCAAGAATGGTAAAAATAATGGAAGGTGTTATTGGGGGTGTGCAAAATTCCCAAATAAAGAATGTAATTTTTTCGAATGGGCTGAAGAAAGAGGAGAGTCATCAAGCAACCAAGGAAGCCAATATGTCAAAGAAAATAGGTACAGAGATAAATATATTTTGCAATCAAAGAAGCTAAAAAAATTTGAGACTTGTCGAAATCAACTACTAGCTTAGAAAATTTCTGTAATTTTATTAGTAATTTTTTGTATTATTTTAATTATTACAAACTTTATGTCATGTACCTGTACTTGCAAAAAACTATTGAGGATGTAATGAAAACTGTTGTTTGAATTGGGTACAAATTCTATTTGATATTGTATGGCTCAGTAATAGATCAACTTGTCATAATTGTTTGCCCCATCTATAACTTACATGTTATTACAGATTGCATTATAAGGATGAATTGCCTCGCCTAGACATTGTCAATTCAATGTAGGCTGCATTCTCATCCCCTTTTGCCTCATCTGGATATAATAAACGATGTAAGTTAGATTGCATTCTCAGTAAACACTGATCATCATCATTGCCACATATCAAGTGCAAGGAGCTGCACAAGCTCAAAACTAAACAGCAAGTAACCCACAGGCAAGGAAAAACAAAACAGTAACACACCCAGCAGCAAGGAGCTACACAAGCTCTTAACAAAATAGCAGCAAACCCAGCAGATGGGGGGTAAACAAGCAACAAACCCCAGCAGCAGCAGGAGCTGCACAAGCTCCAAATAACAGGCACAACCCCAAAGAGCCTGAAAGATACACAAGCTCAAACAAAACAGCACCAAACCCCAACTGCAGCAGGAGCTGCACAAGCTCCAAATAACAGGCATAAACCCAACAAAGATTGGAGCTACACAAGCTCAAAACAAAACAACAACAAACCCCAGCAGCAGCAAGAGCTGCACAACTGAGGAATAACAGGCACAAACCTAAAGAGCAAGGAGCTACACAAGCTCAAAACAGTTCAGCAACAAACCCCAGCAGCAGCAGGAGCTGCACAAGCTCCAAATAACAGGCACAAACCCAACAAAGCAAGGAGCTACACAAGCTCAAAACAAAACAGTTGGCAAACCCCAGCAGCAGCAGCAGCTGCACAAGCTCCAAATAACAGGCACAAACCCAACAAAGATTGGAGCTACACAAGCTCAAAACAAAACAGTTGGCAAACCCCAGCAGCAGAAGGAGCTGCACAAGCTCCAAATAACAGGCACAAACCCAACAAAGCAAGGATCGAATACAAACTCAAAACAAAACAGTTGGCAAACCCCAGCAGTAGCAGGAGCTGCACAAGCTCCAAATAACAGGCACAAACTCAACAAAGCAAGGAGCTACACAAGCTCAAAACAAAACAGTTGGCAAACCCCAGCAACAGCAGGAGCTGCACAAGCTCCAAATAACAGGCACAAACCCAACAAAGCAAGGAGCTACACAAACTCAAAACAAAACAGTTGGCAAACCCCAACAGTAGCAAGAGCTGCACAAGCTCCAAATAACAGGCACAAACCCACAGCAACCACGTATGACTATGGAGCAATAAACCCAAGCAACAGAATGTAAAAGCCGACATCAGTAAACCCAAGCAACAAACTCATTTACCTGATACGACATCAGTAAACCCAAGCAACAAACTCATTTACCTGATATCAAAAGCAAAGGCAAAATTCAAAGAACTCATTGATCATTCCACGACCATACTTACCTGCAACAAAGATTGCAAATAAACTAATTCATCAATCCCACAACGACATAGATGTTCTTCATAATAAAAAAATATATTGCAACATTAATAGTTTGCAATTAACACAACAATATTCATCAAAATATACTCGAAACCTAACAAACTAGCTATCCGGCCAACCTTGGTCGTCAACTAATTTTGTGATGTACCTCTGCTGATCTTCCTTGGATTTTATGGAAAACCTCCTAGCTTCACGTTCATTGTCATATAAATGGTCTAAAACCCTATCGAGGAACTCCTCAGAATATTCAGACCTATGTTCCTTCAACGCTGCAGCCAACTGCTCAGTCTAGTGAATAACGTGTTAATTTCTCATTGACTGAGACATAGACTCAACAAAGGC